GTAAAACAATTTTTGGATTGGGTCTCAATTTTTTAATTACAATATTTTATGTTAAGGCTGCAGTGTCTAGCTAAACCCTATAGCGAGGTTTTTAGGCGTTACGCAAAACATGATCACGGGGCAACTTATGTTCTGCAACCATTTCGCCAATGAAATATGTTTAAAACACTGTCGTACAATTTTTGTTATAAATGTGTACATTGTTTCAAAGTTAGATTAAGCAATATTGAAATTCGAACGCAACAAAAAAATGTAGCTATGATATATATAGTAGAAGTCCTTTAGTCTAACAAAAATTCCGTACTACCAGGGGGTGATTATAAAAACTATTAGAGTAATAATTAAACAACCAAATCAGTAGGAAATATAAACAGCAAAGCTGATTGTACGATTACCTTAAAAAACTGTTGAATCAAATTCTGCGTAAAACGTAGGGGTTACGTATATCGTAGAACGTACTTCGTTCATGAACCAAGACACAACGGAATTTACTATAGACACAACGATTACCGAATAATAGCGAGTCCTTCTAACCATCCCGAAAACGATCTAGTAGCTCTCGAGCGATTTTGTTTGCATAAAGAAACATTTTTGAAAAAATGTCGGATTTTCGGGCATTCCGAACTGTTGGGTGCCGGACGACTATTTTTATAAACATCTGATTACCCAATAAATATAATAATGTAAAAATAGCTAGTGGTGCATGGCATCACGCCTTAATGAAAATTGCTGAAACTTAACTTCATAATTTTTGAAGATTTTGAAAATATTACATTTTTTTATGATTTTGATTCTTTTAAACATTTGAAAATTTGCTTCTTTTTTTAAAGCAATTGCGTTACATAGGTGTTTTACGGTTAGATATTATAAATCTTGACACGGAACCTATAGAAAAGTACTTATTATGATGAGTTTATGTCACACTTATGAGGTAAAAATCTACTTATAGTGCAGTAAACGGAGAGGAAAAAAGGGTATAACCTCTGAATTTTTTTACTGTGCTCCGAATTGAATGAAATTTTGGAATTAGGTTCATCTTACCCTCAAGTTCAAAAGTGAAAACAATTGAAGTTCCGACACCCCTTCTCAATTGTGTAATTACATTTTTTCAAAATAACGTTGGAAATCGATAGAAGAACTAATTATAAGAAAAAAATGTCTTCTATAGTTTTTCAAAAAACTAATACTTTTCAAGTTACTGGCCCCTAAAGATTCATATATTTTTGGCGTTTTTCTTCGTTTTTTTGCAAATATCTCCTAAAGTATACATTTTAACGAAAATCATGTAATGAACAAAATAATGTCAATAAAAATCTTAATAAATCGGTATTGCATAAAGTGTTCTAGGAAAAATATTGAGCAAGATTTGAAAGAGCAAAGTCGTTTTTTATTTTGTTCAAGATTTAATTGTTGTATTTAAGGCCATCTAGTATCGAGGTTTTATATTTTATGCATTTCGGTAAAATTGGGTTTTATAGTGCTCAACATAAGCTTTAAAATGAGTGCTGTTACAAGCGCAACCCGAATTGTTTTCACTTTTGAACTTGAGGGTAAGATGAACCTAATTCCAAAATTTCATTCAATTCGGAGCACAGTAAAAAAATTCAGACTGCACTATTAATATAATGGTATATATAAATATATATATATATATATATATATATATTCATATAAATATATAAAAAAAGTACAATTTATACAAATTGCTGTAAACAATAACAAAACAACAAAATGCCATTTTATTAGGTAATTTATTTCTTGAGAATGTTAAAGTATAAAATTATTTCAAAGAATTCACTGATTAATATTATAAAATAAAATAGTTGATATAATAAATCCTTCATCATACAACTATAAAAAAATCATAATAAAACTGATAAATGACTCGAACGTCTTTGAGATTAATAAAATAATCTGGCCAGCCACGCCAAAAAAGAAATAAGACTCTGAAACCATTTTAATTTTTTTATTAAACTATTATGATCTAATAAAACCAGTCCAGAAGAAGACTGGTAGGTATGTGGAATTCTTTTGTAACAGATACATATAAATATAAATGTATTCGGTGCAAATGATTAAATCAATTAATCATATTTTTTTTATTAACAACAAAAAATAATCACAGCGGCCAATCGATAGTAATGATTAGCAAGTACTTCAGATTTAAGAGAATCTTTACCCTGCAAAATTTAACATATTATATTTAGACTTCTGGTTTCAAACAATAATTAAATAAATATTAGTATCAAACACTCTATATTTTATGTTTTATTTAGCAGGTTTTAAGAAGTATGTATTTCTTTCTCAGAATTAACAATTATAAACCGATTTTAGTAAAAATGTATATAATATTAACCTTAATGAAAATTTTAAATTACATATGATTTATAGTTATATTACATGTTACAAGTCTAATTCAAAGATATTTTAGTTTTTTCTTTCTTATTCGACGACTTGTTGGTCTAAGAAATTACAAAAGATTCCCATTATTGTTGAACATTATATCACGGATTTGTTACGACAGAGAAATAACTCACGCAATCTCTTTTATTGACAAGAAAAAATATATGTGTACATATATATATATATATATATATATATATATATATATATATATATATATATATATATATATATTGTTGTGCCCCATCCAGCGACGGAGCCAACAAAATGTAGGTTCTTCCTGCTGCTAAGTATCAAGCTGGTACCGGAATGTGAAATGGAATTAGTAAAACAGATGAAGACTTTTGATGTTGACGTTTATTTCATGATTCTTGTACACTTTTCATATAATTTGAACACTGAACTTAAATATAACTCCATTGATTACTTTATATTACTCAAAATGACTGAATTTTATTATAACTGGATTACAACTGAACTATATTGATCTTAACCCATACTGATCTTGACCCATACTCATACTGACTCAAACTGACTGTTTATTGCATCATCCAGAACCTTAAATACTCCTTATCGGTATGACGCATTCCTTTTCTAGAATGTACGATATATATGAGTCAGAAACTACGCTTTACTTGGTCGTCGGACACAGTTTGCGGTTTCAAAAGGAATTTTATCAACACTTGCAAGGTTACTGCAAGCTTACAATGTAACTATGAGCAATACTAATTGCGTCGTTCATATTGACTGTTACATCAATTTACAATATTATTTATAACTACTGTAAAGGGTGAATACCACAACAATATATATATATATATATATATATATATATATATATATATACATATATAGAGGAATAGTTTAGTTATTCCTAAGTTAAATAAAAATGCTATATATGTTTACAGGTGACATTTTTACTTATAACATTGCCATATAATATATACGAATGAATATCAGATGGAACAAAAAAGGACTTTTATGACTATATTTATAATTATAATAGCAAAAAATTCGAAAATGATTTATATCTTTACGTTTCAATAGTTTCTGAACATTTTGGCATACCTTAGAAAAATGATTGTGTGTCTGTGTGTGTGTCTGTTTGTGCGGATACAATTTTTCGTACACGTTTTCGGGCGCACGGATCAACCAATTTAAATGATTCAAAAAGCATTCGATTCCTATTGATAGGGAGATGTGCTGACTAGTTTTTGGCAAAGGCAGGTCCAGGCGTTACGGAGATAAAGTGCAAAGAGTGCAGAAAATACAAATCGAGTTTTTGAGAGAACGGAGTATCGGATTTAAATGATCTAACAAACATTGAATTTGTAATGATTGGGAAAAGTGGTGATTAGTTTTTGGCAAAGGCAGGTCCCGCTATTTCGAAGATACAGAGGAGAATAAAACATTATTATACCTTTTTTTATTTTCCATAAAAATATTTTTGTAATTTTGGGTTAAAAATTGAAAAAAAGACCCAGGCTAAGCACAGTCTAAGCGCCACTCTGGTACAAATGTTTGCCCAAGTGCGTTTAGACTGTTTATGTAATAGAACACTTTTCGAATTTTGTGAAAACTATTGAAAATTTGAAAATGCCGCCAAGCTAAGCACAGTATAAGTGAAAATGTCGCACAGAATCATTTGCAAATGCGTTTAGACTGTGACTATACGGGAGGACTTTAACAATTTTGTGCAAATTATGCAACTATTTTTTTTGAAATTGAATTCGAAATGAAATGACTATTGTTAATGTTCTGAAGATAAATTGATTTTAATGATTTATGATTTACATTTGATTTGATAATGAAAGTTACAGTATTTGTAATAATATATTTGAAAACGTTTAAAATTTCTCGAATATTTCATTACGGTACGGGAAATTCCAGCAATTTGACTAAAGGCACGATGCCATACACCACTACTTTATTTTTTGATGTCTTGCTCTAAAGAATTTGTATGGTTATAACAATTTTAATGTTAAACTCTTGCACCAAATAGAAACAAAAGTTTATTTATAATTTTTATACGTTCCGACATACAGATTTATGTCATCTTCAGTGATATTGGAATTTGATAACAGAATACAAAACAAATAAAATATAATGCAAAGGTTGCTCAAATAATACATATTTTTTATTAGTTATAATTATCAGTAGCCATTTTGTTTATTTATATTGAATTCTGATTGAAAGTTTTAGTACCACTGAAGATGACATAAGATTTTAATTCGAAACGTATAAGAAAATTTTAATATGAAAAATTGCATTGCTTTTTTATTTGTATACTGACGTAAATAATTTATATATATAACATCATAATTTAAATGTATTTATATAAATATATTTATATTTTTGGCATAAAAGTGAAGTTGTCTCTTTTTTATTACTCCGGCGTATAAAAATTTCGCCGGACATTCCCGTCTATTATTTATATCTCAAATTCCTTCAAAACAATTGAAAACCCAAAAACAACTAAATCCATCCGTCACACCCTTGACATTTTCTTTCGGGTAAAAAGAAGTCAAGATCAAATTACATTACCATGACAGTCGAATATATATTTACACATATAGAATAGTCTATTACCGACATACCTGAATGTTTTCTAAAACTGCCAAATCCACATAAAACCACGACACAGTCGTTAATCGGCACAATTTCAAACTTACACTTTTCCAATACTCAAAAACCGTATACCGACAATCAAATCATCTAGCATACGCCCATGGAGTTTTCAACAACGAGATCGCAACCACTATTATTATTACTACTACTTTATGTCCGGGTAATTGTATCACTTGAACCGCATTTGATCACAGTAAGAGATTATAATATAAATCGAATAACAATTGTAACATTTAATACATTTCAGTGGCTTTTTTACAACAGTAGAGATCTTTTCGAGTCGTTCTCGAGCGTCACTAAGGCGACTTTTTCGCTTTTCAGTACCAGATTTCGTGCGCGCGCACGTAATGGCCGCACTGCGGGCGAAACGGGGTTGCCCGATGGGGAATGGAAGGCGGAAGATGGCGCGAGATTTGAAAAATTTGAACTTTAAATCAGGTTGCAAATAAAACTAGTGGTGTATGGCATCGTGCCTTGAAGCAAATTGCTAGAACTTCCCGTATCTTAATAAAATATTCGAGGGATTTTAAACGTTTTCAAATATATTATTACAAATTCTGTAACTTTCATTATTTTTGCTATCTTGTTATATCTGAGCAAATCAAATGTAAATCATAAATCAATTTATCATCTCCAGAACATTAACAATCGTCATTTCATTTCGAATTCAATTTAACAAAAAATTGTTGCCTAATTTGCACAAAATTGAAAAAGTGCTCCCGTATAGTCTTAGTCTAAACGCATTTGCAAATATTTCTGTGCGACATTTTCACTTATACTGTGCTCAGCTTGGTGGCATTTTCACATTTTTCAATAGTTTTCACAAAATTGGAAAAGCGCTCCATTACATAAACAGTCTAAACGCACTTGGTTAAACATTTGTACCAGAGTGGCGCTTAGACTGTGCTTAGCCTGGCTAATTTTTTGAATTTTTAATCCAAAATTACAAACATATTTTATTTAATTTAATTTTTTTTCCAAAAGCAATTATTTTGTTGAAACAAGCAGAAAGTTCTTTAATACACTTAAATCGGACGCTTAGTTCTCTCAAAAACTGCCATTTTTTTAACATTTAGCTCTGTATCTCCGGAACCGCTGGGCCTACCTTTGCCAAAAACTAATAGCCACTTTTCCCCTGATTACGAACTGAATGTTTTTTGGATCATACTAATCGGACGATCCGTTCTCTCAAAAACTCGATTTCTATTTTCTGCACTCTTTGCTCCATATCTCCGTAACGGCTTGACCTGCCTTTGCCAAAAACTAATCAGCACATCTCCCTATCAATAGGAATCGAGTGTTTTTTAAACCATACAAATCGGTTGATCCGTGCACCACATACATGTACACATGCATTTTTTCTGAGGTAAGCCTTAAAATGTTCAGAAACCTTCAAAATGTCGACAAATGCAAAAATTTTCATTTTCGATTTTTGGCCCATTACTATAACTACCCTATGGGAAGTTAATAATTTTTATTGATTAAAGTAAAATATTTAAATAATATGTTTAAACGTAGTTTGCTTGTTCTTAGTGTTCCTTTCTTTTGTAATATAAAATTTTGTATTCTGGTCTTGCCCATATTCCATTATTTGATTCCATTTGCTTGTCAGACAAGTCTTTTTTAAATCAAACTTATTAAACATTTCACTAGTCGTTTTTTTTGTTGATTTTAACCATAGTTTGTTTATCCATAGTATTTCTTCTTTTTGGTTACAGTCCATATATTATATCATAAAATGTCGATAGTGTTATTTTGCACCTATACAAGTATGTTTTATCGACTTTGCTCAGAGTCCATACTTCTGATCCATGTAGAGTTATATACCAAATACAGTAAATTTTATATAAATAATCTACCGTTTTAAAGCTCTATAGAAATTCCTTATAAATGCCTCATATATTAATTAATGTTAATATAATCATTATATCAAGTTGATTGTTAAAATACATGCAACTTGCTTTATTTGATTGATGCAAAAATTCTTATCTTATTCATCTATTATTCTCATATTTTTATCATATGAACTTCAATTATTATGATAAAATATCGAAATATAAATATATTCTGTCTATTTGAAATTTTCTAGTGGCCATCCATTCTTATTAATTAAAATATATTAAATTTTTAATTTGTTTTGTATTCATTTCATATGATTACATTTTATACTCAATCTTTGTAATGAATTCTAGTTGCCAAACTTCCAATTAATATTATTGAAAAATTTGGTAATAACAATATGATCAAAAATACTTTTAAAGAAAAATCTTCGTCAACAGATTTTTTAATAGAAATTGTCAGAAATTGAAAAGTAAAAATCATAGTTAAAAATGGAAGGTAAATATTTTTGTTTTCTAAACTCATTCAATCCATTAATTCAGAAAAAATCAAATTTATTAATTAAGAAGATTAAAGCAGTTTATATATATAAATATATATATATATATATATATATATATATATATATATATATATATAAATTTAAACAATTTAAACTAATTTCATTTTCTGACTGTTCTTCAAATAAAATTTAAACAATAAAATACAAATGTACACTTCTACATACTTAAAACTTAGCTTAAAATTATTTTCCTTCCTTTCATTTACAATCTATCCCTAATCCCAAAACTCTTCTTCATAACCCTCCAATTCGCGACTCAAAGGATCCACAACGTTCATTTTCAATACTGGGTCCTCTCTTACAAAATCTTGTCTATCGGCACAATTTTTAACATGTTCTACATAGTTCTCTTTTAGAACACAATGTTTAATGTTAAAAGGACAGAGAGACCAGACTTCTCTGCCTCCGTTGTTGCTGATGCATTTCATTAGATGTCTAACAAAATGCATCTGTGTTATTTTGTGCTCTTTGTTGATGGGGCATTGCAGAACTTGGCCTTGAACCTGGGCAAAAGAAATAGTATGAAATGATAATAAACTGCATGTAAAGATGATATAAAAAAAATTGGCAGAACCATAAACTAATAAATTTAATATTCGCTTATTTATTTTCATCGGAGCAATGATAATACAATAACAAAGCTCATGTCAATATATTACAATTATTATATATAATGAGAAGTAATTTTATAATTACATATATCTTAAAAAATCTAAGTATTTTATATAATACACTGGATAATAATGCTAATATGCTGTAATTATAAATGGCATTTGTCTATCTGAATAAAAGATTCATTAAATTTATATAAATAGATCCTCGGTACACTTTAAAGTCAAAACCATAAAAAGAAAATAAATTTGAATTTGTAGCTTACATAGTGTTTGATAAAATTGAACTGAACTTTAAACAAATTTGTATAAAAGTACATCTACAAATTTTTTTTAGTAATAAAATAAATTGGAAAAACTTTATACACTCTTTAATGATCAGTGATTTTAAATTTTCAAAAGAATTATAAGAAGTTAGGTTATGAACTAAAATTTTAAAAGAATTATGTTTACACAGAATGCCACACTTTTATATATTTCAAAACGACAAATTGAAGCATTAATAAGATATAATTAAAACTTAAAAAGATATTAATTATATACATTACATAAGAATATTATTATTTTTTGCTTACCGTGCAAGAAATACGAGAAGGCATCGTTACAATTAATAAAATCGTTTCTATACGACGTCAATGGTTTTACAATAAAATAAAACGTGTTATATACAAATATTTACATATATATAATTTATTTATCATATATTATTAAATATACAACTGTTTAAATAATAAAATAAAGCAAAAAAGCGGTACAAACACGTGCAGACGCCAAAGCAAAACTGTCAAATAAACGAAAATGTACTGACATAATTGTCAACTGTCAAATGTCAAAATAATTGCCAACTGTCAAAAGATATGACAACTGTCAAAATTATTAACTTGAAATAATTGTATATGTAAATATTAAAATATTTAATTTAGTTATAAGTACTTGTTAATAATAAAGTAAATAGTTAAAAAATAATCTAATAAATACACTGTTTTTAATTTTAAGTTTTCACACGTCATTTGTGCGAAACAAAATCGTGTACAAAAATTTCTGGATTGAAACAAAAATTTAAATAAACACCTTAATTTTACAAATATTCAAAAAACAAGTTATTTATGATTATATAATTTTAATTCATACTATTTTTATTGCGATATTACATCACATTTAAATGATATTACAAAAATAGTCTGTCTAACCTCAAAGTTTCTTTAATATAAATTAATATCTTTTGACCTATTTGTAAAAATGTCTGTAAAGAATATATTGTATATAATTTCGTTGTGTTTATGTATAAATCATGGTTTTGGTATGGAAAAAGATATGACTGTAAATATAGATCCTGGGAAACAGGATTGTTTTTATCAGTGGGTAAAAGCTGGCCAGGTAATAAAATAATTACTTATATATATATATATATATATATATATATATATATATATACATGAGTCATTTACTATTATTATTTATTTTAGGTTATCGATTTCGAATACCAAGTAATAGACGGTAGTCACGGTGATTTAGACATAAGTTTCCAACTGATGGATCCCAATGGACAAATTATATTTGCCGACTTCAAAAAATCTGATAATGTTCATAGACTGGAAGCAAAAATGGATGGAGATTATAGATTTTGTTTTGATAACACTTTTAGCAGTTTCAATTCCAAAACTGTATTCTTTGAATTGTTATTGGAAAATGAAGGAGATGATGATGATAAGTGGGATGATAATGTGGAACTAGAAGGTAGTAATAGATACATAAATAAATATATTTATATATATATATATATATATATATATATATATATATATATATACGTGGTCTGTTCAAAAAGTACCCGGAATTTTCGTTTTTTCAAAAAAATATTTATTTATTCGTCTACATTAATGTGGTCCCCTTCAAAGTAGTCCCCCCCAGATATAATACACTTATGCCAGCGTTTTTTCCAATTTTCGAAGCACCCTTGATATTCACTTTTTGATATGTCCTTGAGCACTCTCAGCGATTTCTTCAATCGAGGAAAACCGCCGTCCTTTCATGGGTCTCTTCAACTTTGGAATAGGAAAAAGTCACACGGAGCCATATCTGGTGAATTTTTGCACTTTGCAACACTTTATTTCATTTTTTACGCAAAATTTAATACAAATTCTTTGACTTTTCAATTCTTCCATTGTAAAAATCGCCGAGCTCAGAAAAACACGTCGAACCTTAGCGACTACCACAGACAAAGTAAACAGTGAATATAGCTGAAAATTTCATCATACTTTAGGGGCATGTATACCAACACAATAAAAAAAAAATTTTGACAATCAGACACTCCAGACCCGCGAAATTTAATTATTAGTAATTCCGGGTACTTTTTGAACAGACCACGTATATATATATATATATATATATATATATATATATATATATATTACTAATTCAAATGATTAGGTTTGACTCCAGAAGAGTTTTACGATATGAAAATCCAAGATATCCATGATTCTATTGCTCGAGTGCGCTCCCATATTAGCAAAGTGAGACACTTACAAGAATTGTTTAGAACATACGAAGCCCGTGATAGGAATGTTGCAGAAGAAAACAATTTTAAAGTGAACTCCTGGTCTATGTTCCAAATATTTGCTATGATATGTAAATATAAAATTAATTTTAAATTAATTTATATTATTATTTTGTGATTTATATGTTTTTTTCACAGGTGTTGGTGTTTTACAAGTTGTAATGGTCCGGAGTCTCTTTGATACTGAATCTAAAGTGAATAAAATATGGACAAAAGTGGATAAAAAATTTAGTAATTAATTTAGGACTTGTGGGAGTTAATTCAAAAGTGTCATAATAGATTCTCAGGAATACGTAAATCTTTTAATTTTGTGATTTCAATCCATTTCGTATCCAGTAATTTATAAGTATATTTTTAATTAGGTTTTAATTAAAATTGTATAAATTTTTACCAAAGAATTTTAATGTAAAAATTAGGATATTTAAAGAATAAACAGATATTTCTTAAATATACATAACTTTATATTAATTTTATGTACTTATTTATAATCACAGATTAATATTTATATATATACAATTAGTTATCAAATGCAAAACTGATTATTTGCATAATAAAAGCACCTTATGCATAAGGATTCCAATTACTCCCATCTTCCGGATGCAAACAATTTGTGATCAAGAAAATTATATCCAAAATCCACCAAATACCGATTCCTCCTAGCGTCAACAACTTCCCCACAGCCGTACCTGTTTGCCCCAAACAAAACCTATCCATTCCCAAAAACCCTAACAAAATACTATAAATCAACGTGGTAGTAAAATAATGATTAGAATACTTAATACAAGGAAACCCATCTCTCAAAAACGTCCGTGGCCCATAACATTCAATATCAGGTAAAACTGTGCATTGCACTTTGGTTCTTTCAACATCTTCGTAATTGTAGCCTCCAAATTTTAAGCATCCATATCCCAATTCTTCTTGAGCTGTTACATTGCCTTTGTGGTCGACAGGGGGATCACAGTCGATGAATTCAAGGGGTAGAAAGTTGCATCGCACTAGCGGGGACCATGGTTTGTATTCGGACACGTTTGATTTGGAAACTAGGGCTCCTGAGGCACAGAAGACGAAGGTGATGAAATATGGTAAGAGGATTATTTGTTTGTAGATCATTTTGTACACTGGAAACGTCTTATTTCAGGATAGCCATTATTTTTCCTGAAATAAATCATGACATACTTAACTTGATATAAACTCATGTTATTTTCAACAAGTGTCAGTGTAAAATCAAAATTTTGATAAATATGTATATGCAGATGATTATATAGTACCTTTACATAATTAAGTCTTCTATTTAAACTATTTATTTATCAAAACGTCATATATTAATTGTTTATTTATCTTTTAAACAAATAGACAAGATTGATGTGTCAAAACTCTTCATTTTAAACTTGTCAGACATGACAGTTCAGCTGTCAACATATTTTTAATTCCTTTAATTTTTAAATTAAAGTCTTCACGTACAATGATATTAATAAGTATTTATGTACAATGTATGAAGAAATCTTTTAAGCATAAGATTTTATAAAAATGGGTTAATGATTAAAAAAACTTCAATAAAGAATAATCTGTCAAAAGTGTCAAAGCACCTTGACAAGGATTAGTGTTGCCATAATTTAAAACTAATTTCTACAATAAAAACCTTTTTTTTTTTAATAAAGTTTAATATAATAATAGTTTACTTTACAATCAAAATAATTCATTTAGAATTTGCAAGTATTATTTGAAATTTTAAAAAATATGTTAAGAAACTTTAGAAAATTTTATTTTTATCTTTTCGAATTGTCAATCTGCAATTGATCCTAAAAATGCAATCTGGCAACACATAAACATATCGCAAGTTTTTTGTACACATTTTATAACCATTAAAACATTTATTTTATAACTAATTTTGAGAGAAAATAGTGTATAAGATACGTTTTAATTAATACATTAGGAACAATCTACACAGTGTTAATATATTTTAATTCGTTCACACGCATTTTCATTAGTTATTAACTGTCACTTGTGTTCATTATGCCGGATAGTAGTTGTTAAATTATACTAAGAACAAAATTTATTATTATTTTTTAGATTTTTTTCTGGTAGTGATAGTTAATTTAACACAATGGAAAAATTCAGGAAGGCGCACGAAAGACGTCCGAAGTCTGGCATACGTTCTGCAAAAGTACATAAATCCAAAAGTAAAGAAATGAAAAAGATGCTCCGTAAATACGAAGACAGTTTTACAAAAATCCTAATAAACGCCAGCAACGTAATCGAAAATATCCCTAAAAAAAAACGTGCCGAATCTCTACTTCGCGTTACTAAAGGTTTAACCAAAATCAAAAAGATACCTAAAACAAAATACTACAACTTTGATCCTGATGGTGACTTGGCAACACACATCAAACTGAATTTAAAACGAAGTGAATTTACCAGTCCTAGCAAAAAAGGAAGCCCTAAAAAACTCAAAATCGAAACATCAGGCAGCGAATCTTCTGATGGTAGTGAAATGATGGAATTGTTGACTGAATTGCAAAAGGAGTCTTCAGATGAAGACATAAATGATGATGATGATGAATTAGGATCTGACAAAAGTTTAGTGATTGATGAAGAAGCAGAGAATCTTGATGACAGTTTTCCTGGTAAATATGTAATGAAACCGCCTTCAGATCTGGGTGAAGACGATGATGATTTTGACTGCGATATGGATGAAGATTTAGAGAATGATTTTTTAGAGCAGTGTACTCAACAACCGGACACGTCTCAAGTTGATAAAAATGATGAAGAACCTTCCTTTAATGATTCCAAGGAACCAGGCGAGATAAATGAATCCGGTGATATCAATGAAGCGGATTTGTATGACGATTTGGATGAACCTGCTACTGAAAACGTTGATGACATGTTGTACGAAACAGCATTTGAGGCTACTGCTGATAAAAATAAACCAAGTGAGGATACAAATAAACCACCGATAGACACGACGCATACTGTAGATGTAAAACAACAAATAGCGAATTTGCAGAATGTAACAATCGAACCGGTAAGCCAACCTGAACCTGGTGGAAGAAGTCGTGGAACTTATAAGCAGTGATGATGAAGCCGAGCAAAAAACTGAAGCACCTAAACCTGTAATGGAGGACAATCCTGCTGAAAATTATGATGAGGTATCGTTTTATACAGCCGGACCAAACGTTGTTGTTGTTTTGAGGCACCCGGTGCGTTTGTATTTCTGGGGCAAGTTTAAAGCACAGTTGTTGTACGGTAATGTGTGTATACTCGGTTGTATTTTGCAAAATTCACAACCGTACGAGGTTTATTCGCCACGGGGTTTAGGCAAGTTGTATTTTGAGACGTTACCGACGGAAGACGCGTTTAATCCTATGGTTTTGTTCCCCATACTTGCAAATACTAGTCTGAATGCTTTCAACACCGAACAGATAGCCACATCGATATCAGAACACGACGTAGTGCTGTATTTACAAAGTAACAATAACACTTTAACATCGTACTTTAAATTTTTTAAACGTAAATCCTAAACCGTTCCCCACGTCCAGCAGAGCTTCGGAGAACTCGGAGCACCATTACAATGCTTCTTTGCAAACATTTTTTTACAAAATGGATGAATGTACTCTCGGTGTGAATATTGGTGAGAACTGGTACGATTTAAGCAACCACATATTCTCAAACGACGGTAATGCTAAAATATTAGTTTGCGGGGGCAAAAACGTAGGCAAATCCACCTTCAACAGGTTTTTGTTAAACACACAAGTCCTACAAACGCCTGTGATATATGTGGACTTGGACATCGGACAACCAGAGTTTGGTTTTCCTGGTACGATATCAGCTTCCATGATCGATGAGCCTGTTTTTGGTCCAAGTTACACGCACACCCACACAAGCTTCTTACATATGAAATTCATACGAGACATTGATGTAATGAAGAACACCGGACTGTACTTGAACAGTGTTAAGGACATGGTTAACGATCTCTGGAAAGAATATGCTGATTACCCCTGGATAATCAACACTATGGGTTTTGTCAAAGGCTTCGGTGACAGCATTAATATATCTTGTATCAAACTAACAAGACCCACATCTGTCGTTCAAATACATGATAAGGATGCCAAAAACAATTACGATTGTTACATGCGTCCAGAGACTGTTCACCAATACCAAACTCATAACCTGGGCGTGTACATTCCTGATGAGCAATTAAATTTCAACCATATGCTGATCATGTCGGAGGCACAATCGGGTAAGAGGAATGCTGATGGTAAACAGATGAGGGACTTGAAGGTTATTAGTTACTTTTCCAATATCTTGAGTGATGACAAGTTTCACTTGACGCAGTATAAACCTTTAGAGTAAGTAAAACGATAATTTGTTACGGTGGTACCCCGACATACGAGCAAGGGACGATTCGTTGCTTCGACGTACGAGCAAAGTTCGACGATACGAACTTTGAGCGAGTAAGTCTTTAATAGAAAGATATGACAAAATGAGAATTTTCGTCAGGGGGCGCCCATTAATCACGTGATCGATTTTTTAAAGATTTTTGAACCCCCTTAGTGATATTCGAGATTAATTAACTTCCCGTAGGGCAAGTTATAGTAATCGCAAAAAAATCGAAAATGAAAATTTTTGCATTTCTCGACGTTTCAAAGGTTTCTGAATATTTTGGCATACCTTAGAAAAAATGGATGTGTGTGTGTGTGTGTGGTGTGTGTGTGTGTGTGTGCGTGTGTGTATGTATGTATGTGCGGATACAAATTTTCGTCGACGATTTCGGGAACACCGTTCAACCGATTTGAATAATTCGAAAAACATTCGATTCGAATTGATAAGGAGACGTGCTGATTAGTTTTTGGCGAAGGCAGGTCTAGCCGTTCCGAAGATACGGGGCAAAAAGTGCCAAAAGCGGTAACTCAGTTTTTAAGAGAACGGAGCGTCCGATTTTAATAATTCAAAAAATATTTTACTTGTATTGACAAGGTGAAGAACCGATCAAATTTCCATAAAGGCAGGTCTAGCGGTTTCGGAGATCTAATGAAAAAAGTAAAAAAAAATGTCATTTGGCGGTCAAAAATGATCATTAGACTTATGCACATCAAATTATCAGATATTCTATAGAGATTATAACAATAAGTATGAATTCGGTTTACAGTCCTATGGGTTCCGTACCAATGTTTACGCGTTAGACGGCGACGCGGCGCTTACGCGCTTTGATATTTCGTCTTTATGCAGTTAAAGCAGTACGATTGCTTTGAAAAAAAGTTTAGATCTTCCAAAATATGTCAAAATAAAGAAAATTTTTTTTTCCAAAAAAAATTTGAAAAAAAAAAATTTAATTTTTTTTTTAAAAAAAAAGTAATTTTTTGTCCAATGTATAGTTTCTTAAACATTTTATTTTTTCGGAGTAAAATTTTTTCAAAAATGTTACTTGTTTTTAAAAAAATAATAATTTTTGGCACGGGAAGTTCCAGCAATTTGCCTTAAGGCACGATGCCTTAATTGCCTTAAGACAGAATTCCACTTACAGCTAGTTATGTGTATGTTTATAAGAAATTTGTTTTTTTTAATTAGATTTTTTTGATAATTTAGAAATTTTTCCAAGATTTTGAAATTTTTTCAGAAGTTTGAAATTTTTTGCAATTTAAAAAAAACGTTTTTTTAATTTTTTTTAAAATTTGGAAATTTTTGAAAATATTTGATTTCTTGTTTATATTTTTTTATTTTTAAATTTTTCAAAATTTCATGTCTTTTTTGAAAATTCTAATGATCATTTTTGACCGCCAAATGGCATTTTTTTCACTTTTTTACTAGATCTCCGAAACCGCTACACCTGTCTTTCCAAAAATTGAAATAGTACTTTATTTCATCAATGTTAAAAATTCATTCAAAGAATCATTCAAATCGGACGCTTCGTTCTCTCATAAACTGAATTACGATTTTTGGCACTTTTTGCCCCGTATCTTCGGAACGGCTAGACCTGCCTTCGCCAAAAACTAATCAGCACGTCTCCTTATCAATACGAATCGAATGTTTATTGAATTATTCAAATCGGTTGATCGGTCTTCCCGAAATCGTCGACGAAAATTTGTATCCGCACCCACACACACATACATCCATTATTTCTAAGGTATGCCAAAATGTTCAGAAACCTCTAAAACGTAAAGATATATAAAAAAATTAATTTTCCATTTCGAACTTACTAATTCTAAAATAGAATGAATATACTGACAGGCAAAAGGACTCTACTGACAGGCAAATTTATTTTAATAGATTGCAAAATGGAAGAGAATGATATTTTAGAATAAAAAAGGACTCTACTGACAGAAAAAGGGCTCTACGGACGGACAAGAGAACTCTACTAACTTTAAAATAAAAAGAGCACTACTGAGACGAAAGGACTCTACTGACAGGCAAAAAGACTAATGACAATAAAATAAAAGCAAAGGATTCTAGTGACAAAAAGGACACTACTGACAAGCAAAAAGACTAATAAAATAAGACTCTACTGATAAAAAAATAAAATAAATTTACTGACAGACAAAAGGACTCTACTGACAGGCAAATTTATTTTCATAGATTGTAAAATAAAAGAAAATGATATTTTAGAATAAAATAAATTCTACTGACAGCCAAATGGACTCTACTGGTAATGAAATAATAGGAATATACTGACAGACAAAAGGACTGTACTAAAAGTCAAATTTATTATAATAGGTTGCAAAATGGAGATTTAGAATAAAAAAGGACTCTTCTGACGGGCAAAACAACACTACTAATTTTAAATAAAAAGACGCTACTCATAGACAAAAGGACACTACCAACAAGCGAAAAGATTCTAGAGATAAAAAATATAAAAGGACTCTACTGACATTCAAATCCACTATCAGACGAAAGGAGTCTACTGATAGAAAAACTCTAGTGACAAAAAATTTAAAAAAAAACTCAAGCCGAAAGGACTCTACTAACAGCAAAAGGAGTCTACTGACAGGCAAAAGTACTCTACTTAGAGCAAAAGGACTCTACTGACAAACTGACTCTTTACTGATAATAAAATAAAAGGACTCTGCTGGCAGACAAATGAATTCTACTGACAAAAAAATAAAAACAACTGCACTGATAGGCAAAAGGACTCTACTATCAGACGGGAGGACTCTACTGACAAGCAATAAAATAAAAAAGACTCTACCGACGAACAAAAAGACTCTACTGACAGGCAAAATAACTTCTATTGATAGACAAAAAAATTCTATTGAAACACAAAAGGACTCTACTAACAGGCAAATGGACTTTCTACCGATAATAAAATAAAAGGACTCTACTGTCAATAAAATAGAAGACTACTGACAGCCGAAAGGACTCTACTGACAATAAAATGAAAAGAATATACTGATAGACAAAAGGACTCTACTGACAGGCAAATTTATTTTAATAGGTTGCAAAATGGAAGAAAATAATATTTTAGAATTAAAAAGGACTCCACTGACGAGCAGAAAGACCTCAGTGACAATAAAATAAAAGAATTCTACTGACAGGGAAAAAGACTTCAGTAATAATACTTTACTGACATTCAAAAGGACTCTACTGACAAGCAAATAGAATCTCTACTGACAATAAAATAAAAGGACTCTACTGATAATAAAATAAAAGGACTACTGACAATAAAATAGAAGGTACATATTGATAGACAAAAGGACTGTACTGACGAGCAAATTTAAGAAAAGAGAACATTGTAAAATAAAAAAGGACTCTACTGACAGGCAAAAGAACTCTACTAACATTAAAATTAAAGGACATTACACATAGACAAAAGGACTCTACTGACAGGCAAAAATACTCTATTAACAATAAATAAAAGGACTCTATCTACATTCTGAAGGACTCCACTGTCACGTAAAAAGAACTCTACTAGCAGGCAAAGGATTTTACTGACAAAAAATAAAAAATAAGTGGCAATAAAATAAGGCTCTACTGATGGGCAAAATAACTCTGCTGACCGACAAAAGGACTCTACTGACTCTGGCAATTTATTTTCATTGATTGCAAAATGAAAGAGAATAGAAAAGGACTCTACTGACGAGCAAAATAACTCTGCTGACCTACAAAAGGACTCTACTGACTCTGGCAATTTATTTTCATAGATTGCAAAATGAAAGAGATAAAAAAGGACTCTACTGACGAGCAAAATAACTCTGCTGACCTACAAAAGGACTCTACTGACTCTGGCAATTTATTTTCATTGATTGCAAAATGAAATAGAATAAAAAAGGACTCTACTGACGAGCAAAATAACACTGCTGACCTACAAAAGGACTCTACTGACTCTGGCAATTTATTTTCATAGATTGCAAAATGAAAGAGAATAAAAAAGGACTCTATTGACGAGCAAAATAACTCTGCTGACCTACAAAAGGACTCTACTGACTCTGGCAATTTATTTTCATTGATTGCAAAATGAAATAGAATAAAAAAGGACTCTACTGACGAGCAAAATAACACTGCTGACCTACAAAAGGACTCTACTGACTCTGGCAATTTATTTTCATAGATTGCAAAATGAAAGAGAATAAAAAAGGACTCTATTGACGAGCAAAATAACACTGCTGACCTACAAAAGGACTCTACTGACTCCGGCAATTTATTTTCATTGATTGCAAAATGAAATAGAATAAAAAAGGACTCTACTGACGAGCAAAATAACACTGCTGACCTACAAAAGGACTCTACTGACTCTGGAAATTTATTTTTATAGATTGCAAAATGAAAGAGAATAAAAAAGGACTCTACTGACAGAAAAAGGACTACTGACAGAAAAAGGACTCTACTGACAGAAAAAGGATTCTACTGACTGGCAAATTTATTTTCATGGATTGCAAAATGAAAGACAATGATATTTTAGAATAAAAAAGAACTCTACTGACAGAAAGGGACTCTACTGACGGGCAAAAGGTTTCTACTGACAAGCAAATTTATTTTTGTAGATTGCAAAATGGAAAAGAATAAAAAAGGACTCTACTGACAGAAAAAGGACTACTGACAGAAAAAGGACTCTACTGACAGAAAAAGGATTCTACTGACTGGCAAATTTATTTTCATGGATTGCAAAATGAAAGACAATGATATTTTAGAATAAAAAAGGACTCTACTGACAAGCAAAATAATTCTACTGGCAGATAAAAGGAACTCTACTGACAGGCAAATTTATTTTTGTAGATTGCAAAATGGAAGCGAATAAAAAAGGACTCTACTGACAGAAAAAGGACTCTATTGACAAGCAAATTTATTTTTTCATAGATTGCAAAATGGAAGCGAATAAAAAAGGACTCTACTGACAGAAAAAGGACTCTATTGACAAGCAAATTTATTTTTTCATAGATTGCAAAATGGAAGCGAATAAAAAAGGACTCTACTGACAGAAAAAGGACTCTACTGACAGAAGAAGGACTCTACTGACAGAAAAAGGACTCTACTGACTGGCAAAAGGACTCTGCTGACAAGCAAATTTATTTTTTCATAGATTGCAAAATGATAGAGAATGAAAAAGGACTCTACTGACATGCAAATTAATTTTCATAGATTGCAAAATAAAAGAGATGATATTTTAGAATAAAAAACGACTCTACTGACAGGAAAAAGGACTCTATTGACGGGCCAAAGGATTCTACTGACAAAAAAATTTATTTTCATAAAGAAAATGATAATTTAGAATAAAAAATGGCTACTGCTAAAAAAGGACTCTACTCACAATTAAACTTATTTTCATATATTGCAAATGAAAGAGAATGATATTCTGGAATAAAAAAGGACTCTACTGACACAAAAAGTACTCTCTAATGAAAGACTCTAATAAATGAACTAATTGAATGAACATATATAATCTTTAATTTTAATTAAAGCGAATACTAAATAAAAAAGGACTCTACTGGCTCACAAAATCTAAACATCGTTATTTACAAGAAACTAAATCTAAAATAAAAAAAAACTCTACTGACATGGAAAAGACTCTACTAACTTACATGGGAATTGTTTAACGAAACATGTCTAATAATTAAATTAATAAATAGTACATTTATTTTTATTAATAAATGAAGGGCATTTCAATATATTTATATGACAATTATTGTTGCTTCAATTAAACTCGTATGTCGGGATACCACTGTCTGTAGTTTATTTTAATTAATATTTCAAAATCTCTAACGATCATTTATTGCAGAGCCAGTCTTTCTAAACTAAAAATTTGGTCAATCGATACCCTGGCTCCAAACTTGATAGCGAGCAGTCTGAATACAAACATCGTGGCCTTGTGCAATGTTCGAAATGAGTTAAAGACAAAAACTGAATGCGGCTTGAACTTGTTGCCTCATAATTTGAAAACAGGATTGAATTGTTTAGGATTTGGTAAGGGTAAAAGATTTTAAATAACTTTCCAAAGGAGAAGGTTGAGGTTTTTGCTAGAAAATCCAGTTAGCAAGTTTTTGGAAATTTTGATTGCAGTTTTTTAAAATATTTCTGTTATCTATTCTAGGTATTGTGCGAGGTGTCGCCAAGGACAAAATCTATCTCCTAACACCCTGTCTTAGAAGAATTAGACAATATCAATTGCATGCAAACTGCACACAAGCACTTCCCTTAAACATGCTTACAAAAGTGGGCCCTGAGATCAAAGGACATGCCCCCTTCGTAAATTTAAAACGCGACCGACCCATAACAGCAAATATACCTAAACGAAACTACTACCTACAAAGATCATTTACGAATCGTAGTGCAAAAGAAACATGAATTCAAAACTTATAATAAGTTTATTACTAATAGATGCTATTTTACACAAATTGTATTTACTTTTTTTTAATATACTTAAGATATTTATTCGAATTAAAATTGTCTTCTAGATCTTCCACGATTTTGACTTTCTGTTTGGGTTTACGTTTCTCCAGCCTTGCTTTTCTTTCAGCCTCGCTCAGAGTGGCCAAATTTAATGGCAATGTGATGATTTTACGGGGCTCGTGATACCTTATATTGACACTGGAGCCATCGGGGAGCACCAGGACTGTGGGGTACATCCGAGCGTAGACTTTTCGATGGATTTTTGTCACTTGAGCACTTGCCGAACTTAATTTTCGCGATAGAACATTCTCGATGAGGAATGTTCTTTAGTAAACGCGAGTTATTCATGATGATAAATGATAAATGTCAAATGAATTTTGTGTGAAATTTGTAGGTTAAGTTTGGTAGGTTAACTAGGGTTATGACACAAGAGTGTTGCCAGATGAGGAAATAGATTTGAGAAATAAACGATTGAAGGATTCAAAATTTGTTTGCTTTAATAAATAAATAAATATACATATATAAATATATATATATATATATATATATGTATATATATATATATAAATTACTATTTATTAAACTTTGAGAATATTGAAAAAAATTAAATAAATATCTTGTATACAGAAAATAGGCCTAAAATCTTATGTAAATCTTTAATAAAATCATTTTTAATACTTATCAACCCCATTGAATGATAATTACCAATAATTAATTACAAATAGAAAAATTTGAAAATTGGGTACTGTCTTGTCAGTTCATGCTAACAAAATTGAATATAAACTAGTTGGTTTGGTATTTTGTCTTGAGGCAAGTTACATGAACTTCCCGATATGTGTAAATAATCGACTTAATCAAAAAAAAAGTGTAATATACTTCATCAATCCTACTTTAAAAAAAAACGATGATAATTTTAGCAAAGTTTGACGAATTTGTAAAATTAAACTACTTGTCGTAAGGGCGTAATATTACAGTAAGTTCTATAAGACCATGATGTATATAGCCAAAAAAAGTTCCATGAAAATCGGCTTAAATTTTTTTTCATTAGTTAATTACAAGAAAACGGCTCGGTAGATTTTCACCTAAAATTAATCAGTACCATTCCCAACTAATATCTTTCGAACAGTTTTTGATTTTTTTAAATCGGTTCGGTAGGATGAGCATAAATGTGGACGCTTTTTTTCAAATTGCAAAGAAACGGCTTGGCAGATCGTCACACAAAACTGACAAACAATAGTCCTCACCGAAATACATCAAATAGCTTTTAAATTTCTAAAATCGGCTCAGGCGTTTTTGAGAAAACGTCGATCAAAGGTCTAACTTTGACAAATGCCAAAAAAAACGATACCAATTTTTGCAAACTTTGACGAATTTTTAAAGCTGAACCTGTTGTCGTAGGGCCGTAATATTTTAGTATGATATAGAAGACTATGGTATCTACCGTCAAAAAATAATCATAAAAATCGTCGAATTTTTTTTTTAAAAAACTTTAATACAAGAAAACGGCCCGGCCGATCTCTACCAAAAACTAATCAGCACGATTCCCAACCAATATTCATCGAAGGGTTTTTGAATTTTCAAAATCGATTCATAACTGCGGGCAAAAACGTGGACGAAAAATTTTTCACTTTTCTGCTATTTTTAAGGAAACGGCTTGGCCGATCGTTGCACAAAACTGACAAACAATAATCCTCATCGAGATACATCAAATGGCTTTTAAATTTTTGAAATCGGTCCAGCCGTTTTTTTGAGAAAACGAAATAATTCTATTTTGACGCGGATTCTGAACTGAAACATCAATCTAATAAAAGAGCTTTTTACGTACAAACTTTTTAATTGCAAAAGTTGCAAAAATATTCTAAATACAATTTTGCTTTAAAACAAAATGCCATTTTCAACTACACAATATTATGTCATTTTTCACACCCCTATATACTATATTTTATTAGTATGGACACCACTAGGATATAAATAAATACCCATGACGAAGAGTATCGTAAGGACACGAAGAAACCCGAAGAAAGATAAAGGAACACGCTGATTGGTCCAAATAGCGCCGATAGAAAAATGGACGATTAATAAAATATGATAAAATTATTTATTGTGATATTACGAAGTGTATATTATATTTAACATATCTTTATTTATGAATTCTTAAAGTGTTTTAATTATTCAAAAACAACGACGCAGCAAGGCAAAGATTTATAATAGTGAGGAAATTAAATACGAATTTTCGGAAAAACCAGTAACGGATTTCAAAAATATTCGATTCATTCTTGATTTATCGAAATGGGTGAGGAATTATCAATTAATAGACATGTGCTATCTTAACTAGGATGTTAACAAATATATGTATACAATTATAAACACAATGTAAAAAAATATACAAATAAAACTTACTTTGACAACCAGGTTATAGTTATGCACAATTAATCACATTTACGGAAATGAAATTGAAATATTGCTCACACTTATTATTAAAATGATATAAATAAAAACGTACATTACTTTACTGATGCCAAATGTTAATTTCAACAAAAAATCCAAAAATTTATTGTCCTGTCAAACTCATCCATCAATCTTTTCCCTCCTTATCGATTATCCTCCTCCTCTGGCAACACTAATGTCACACCCACGACCGAAGTCGCGTTTGTTTGTTTACTGTTTACTGCGTTATGTCAATTTAAATACATGATATATCAATTATAATTATCAAGCACTATGATATATCAATTATTTTATTATGCTTATTTGATATTCAGAATATGCCTCGATATATTATGGGTGATCCGAGACGTTGCTACCGTCGGCATTCCTTGGGCTGCCATGCTATTTTTTACCTTATGGTGTTTCTTTAAGATATTCAGATCTTCAACGCCGAATTCCAAATTGGTGACACAAGTTTTGGGCCCTGATCCTAATAAATCGGATAGCGGAGTCACCTGGGCGTTTGCCAAAGGAGGAGCTTGTTTTGATGCACCTGGGAACACATTGACGGCTATTAAACATGTTAATAATTGATACAGGGTTTTGAATGTGAACTGTTGTAAGAAGTAGATTGAAAATAGGACCTGTGGATGTACTTTGATAATTAACACTTAATTTTGCTTTCATATTGCTCCTTATACATCATTGCTGCTGCAAATTCTTTGTCGGCTATTTCAATTATAAAACACATCATTTATATTACAGCCATAGAGTCAAATATAACTTTATCTTTGTCATAAAACATCTCACAAACATTTTTGTTCCACATGTAGACTACAAATATGTTTTTCTTACTATTAACATCTAAAATCACACAACTAGTCATATTTTTTAACACACATAGCTGTATATTATTTATTACTATATCTACTTTTCTTCTTCAATGTTCACATTCAAGATCAATTATTATATTTGCCTCTTTGCGCTTATATAAATACAAATATTTTTGTTCCAGTGCATTTCCCGAGGCTTTAATTCAATACAATTAGATATAGGCATAACGTCCGATGGTATATTAGTCTTATGTGATGAAACAATACAAACGCACATATCCAAACAAACTTATGAGCAAACGAAGAAAATTAATGCATCTATGAATCATCCTTTAAGGTTAATATAAAAGATTACAGACAAGATAATATATATATATATATATATATATATATATATATATATATTGATTGTTTCTTTTCCAAATAGTAAATCCAATAATAAAAAACAATTTGTTTTTTGAAGATGTTGAATAACGACGTTTCGGAACTAGATACGTTCCATCATCAGGTTTATTCTGTCAAAGACAATGTTTTTTAAAAACTATTGATTAACATTAATTAATGATGGTCATTACAGATTATTTAGAAAAATTATAAAGGAATGGATTATGTACCAGTGTAAAGAGTAATAAAAATTAACTAAAAAAGGTTTTATATAAAATTGAGATCTCAATTTTCCATAATCCATTCCTTTATAATTTTTCTAATTAATCTGTAATGACCATCATTAATTAATGTTAATCAATAGTTTTTAAAAAACATTGGCTTTGACAGAATAAACCTGATGATGGAACGTATCTAGTTCCGAAACGTCGTTATTAAACATCTTCAAAAAAACGAATTGTTTTTTATTATTGGATTTACTGTTTGCAAAAGAAATAATATATATATTATTTAACTTTTTGGATAACTATTATTGTTTATGATTTTAATATTTCAAGTGTTTTATTCAACATTTCAAGAATATGAGGTGTTGCCCTTTTCAGGAACTCTATGACAATTTATTACATATTTATATGCTTATTTAATTATTATGAAAAAGAAAAAAAACACTTTTTACCTCAGTTTAGTCAGTTAGGTTAGTTATTAAAATCTTTAAAAAATATTAAAATAATTAAATATATGTATAAATGTTATTTTCTTTAAAAAGTTCATTTTGGTTCAGAAATTTGATAATTATATATATATATATATATATATATATATATATATATATGTTTAATTTGAGTTAAAAAGTCGGACGTTACATCAATAAAAATAGTATGAGAGTTTTTTAAAAGTTTATTTATTTAAAATCCATACGTTTTGGCTAGCATCTTAGCCATCATTCAGTGGTGATCAATTTAACTATAGAAATTGAAACTAAATAAATAATAGGTAAGAAATTTCATAGAAAAACAATAATAATAATAATAAAACACTTACGATTTTGTGCTGTAATGGCATATGTAAAAGATTTATATTTTTCATGGAAAAAACAGTTTCAATAATGTGGCATTTTGTTAGTATGTAATTGCAATACAATCCTTAGTTCAATTTTTACACAAATTAAATCTAAGTTTAATTCTGACCGCCTCAGGAACTTGGTATATCAGATTAATATGCTCTAATTGCGAACATTTTTATATCGGAGAAACTAGCCAAAACATGAGTAAACCTAAAAGCAACTCAAAAAATTCTAAACAATTTAAGACGATGTTAACTGAGCATATTAATAATTTAAACCATAATATAGATTTTTTCAACCCTAAAATTTTACATTTTGAAGAGAACGTAATTAAAAGAAGATTCGCTGAGGGGTTGGTTTTGCAATTACATAACGACAAAGTCATAAAGAAACGTTTTGACAATACGGTCCCGAACGAAACAAACATGTGGTTCCTTAATAGCGTGTCAAAATTTCTTAAAAAATGACAAGATCCCATCGCTTTTTAAATATCTCGTAAAATTTGTTAACATATGTTAAGAACTGCTTCAAGAAAAAATGTGACATTTCTATCTTGAACTCCGAACAGTAAATACATAGTTTCGACAACTTGTTAAGTTATCATGTTTATTAGTGTGTTTTACCATCTGTGATGTTAAAAATATAAATTTTATCAATGTGCACATACCCACACCATGGATTAATAATGTTTTTATATGTTATATTAGGATACAAAATTGCAAGTGTTTTATTATTATTATTATTATTGTTTTTCTATGAAATTTCTTGCATATTATTTATCTAGTTTTAATTTTGATAGTTAAATTGATTACTGAATGATGGCTAAGATGCGAGCCGAAACGTATGGATTTTAAATAAATAAACTTAAAAAAAACTCTCATACTATTTTTATTGATGTAACGCCCGACTTTTTAACTCAAATTAAACATATATATATATATATGTATATATATATATATATATATATATATTTATCATTGTGTCTATTACATTAGCAATAAATTTCCCAACGAGCGAATACCAACTTTAAAAGATGCCCTCGATTTGCTGGACAAATCTAAAATAGGCATCAGGCTGCTCCTTAACATAGGCCTGGGCAGACACAACACGAGCAGCCGTGTCTTGGAAATGTTGAAACACTATGAACAGATTAAAAACAATTCCATTTTAGTACTAAGTTCAACATATGCAATATACAAAGTAAGTATAATTGTAATATGTGTATATATATATATATGTATATATATATATATATATATATATATATATATATATATATATATATTCATATATATTTATTTATATAATGTTTATTTCTAGTTGCGGAGGATGGATCCATCCATAATTTGTATTCTGTGGCTGAAATCACCAGCGCTGGTGACAGGTTTTGCTGCCTCGTTGTATTATAGTGTGGTGAGGGAGTTTATTGTTCCTTTGTTAGGAATACCAGCTGTGATTGTGCACAAAAATTTATTGAGTGTGTAAGTATAATAAATTGATTTGAAAATAAATAAATTAATATTATCTTATATATAAAATTTCAACGTAACAAAGTTCGTTTCCTTACTCCTCTGAAACGGCTTTACCGATTATTATCAAATTTTATATGCGTATTCAGTAGGTCTGAGAATCGGTAACTATCTATTTATCAAACCCCTAAATGATAAGGGTTGTTCGCCCTTGATTTTTTTTGTAATTTTTGGACATTTTTGTTTTGTTTTAATTTTTTTAACTTCTCGTAGGGCAAATTATAGTAATTGCAAAAAAATCGAAAATGAAATTTTTTATATATCTTTACGTTTCAGAGGTTTCTGAATATTTTGGCATACCTTAGAAAAAATGGATGTATGTGTGTGTGTGTGTGTGCGTGTGTGTATGTATGTGCGGATGCAAATTTTCGTCGACGATTTCGGGAACACCGATCAACCGATTTGAATAATTCAAAAAACATTCGATTCGTATTGATAAGGAGACGTGCTGATTAGTTTTTGGCGAAGTCAGGTCTAGCCGTTCCGAAGATACGGGGCAAAAGTGCCGAAACGGTAACTCAGTTTTTAAGAGAACGGAGCGTCCCGATTTTAATAATTCAAAAAACATTTTACTGTATTGACAAGGTGAAGAACCTATCAAATTTTCATAAAGGCAGGTCTAGCGGTTTCGGAGATCTAATGAAAAAAGTAAAAAAAAATGCCATTTGGCGGTCAAAATGATCATTAGACATATGCACATCAAATTATCAGATATTTTATAGAGATTTTAACAATAAGTATAATTTTGGTTTACATTCCTATGGGTTCCGTACCAATGTTTACGCGTTAGACGTCGACGCGACGCTTACGCGGTTTGATATTTCGTCTTTATGCAGTTAAAGCAGTACGATTGCTTTGAAAAAAAGTTTAGATCTTTCAAGATATGTCAAAATAAAGAAAACATTTTTTTTTCAAAAAAAAAATTTTTTTTTCAAAAAAAAGTAATTTTTTGTCTAATTGTTTGTCAAAAATCTTATTTTTCCGAAGTAAATTTTTTTCAAAAATGTTAATCGTTTTTAAAAAAATAATAATTTTTGGTACGGGAAGTTCCAGCAATTTGCCTTAAGGCACGATGCCTTAATTGCCTTAAGACAGAATTCCACTTACAGCTAGTTATAGTGTGGCATTGAAAAATACATACAACCCTAAATTTTTACTTCTTTATCACCAACCTCTATTTTTTTATAGTCATTTTAGTTTAGTAATTTAATCACTTTAAATTTACGTTTTTTAATTTACATAATTTTAGTTCAGATTTTTGAGCTTGAAGAAAAAGCTTAATTTTTTTCTTTAAAATACAATTTATTAATATTAAGGATTGTCCAACTCTAATACTTTTTTTTTATTTTAGGAACAAAGTTCTTTATTTCAATTTTCTATAATTTCAAATTGAACTAGTGGTATATGGCAAATTGCTGGAACTTCCCGTACCAAAAATTAGTTTGGCAATCAATTTTGTAAATAAGATTCAATTTTCTTTTAGAACTCTAAAAAAAATATATATATTTTTGAGATCTTTAAAATTTTTGAAAATAATTGACCTTTTTTAAAAATTTAATTTTTTTCATATTTTGAAATATTTTGGAAATTTTGAATTATTTTTCAAAGCAATCGTTAGCTGTGTAGGAACGAAATATCGAAGCGCGTGAGCGCCGCGTCGCAGTATAACGGATAACATTGGTACGGAACCCATAGAAAAATAACCAAATTTTATACTTATTGTTAAAATCTTTATAAAATATCTGATAATTTGATGTGCATATGTCTTAAGATCATTTTTAACCGCCAGATGGCATTTTTTTACTATTTTTGCTGGATCTCCGAAACCGCTAGACCTGCGTTCATGAAAATTTAATCAGTTCTTCATCTTGTTAATACAAGTAAAATGTATTTTGAATTATTTAAATCGGTGCTCCGTTCTCTTAAAAACTGAGTTACAGTTTTTTTTGTATCTTCGGAACGGCTAGACCTGCCGTCGTCAAAAACTAATCAGCACATCTCCTTATCAATACGAATCGAATGTTTTTTGAATTATTCAAATCGATTGATCGGTGTTCCCGAAATCGTCGACGAAAATTTGTATCCGCACACACATACATCAATTTTTTCTAAGGTATGCCAAAATGTTCAAAAACCTTCGAAACGTAAAGATATATAAACATTTTCATTTTCGATTTTTTTGATATTACTATAACTTACCCTAGACGAAATTAAAAAGTTTATTAATCTAGAATGATGTCGTAATGGTTTATACTAGGATTATATTAAAAAATGAATTTTTGATATATATTAAAAAAAAGACCATTTTCTTACCTCTTTTTTGAGTTTCTCGAATTTTTGTAGTAATAATTGAAATTTGGGAATCTGGCTAGTGTATGCTCGAAAAAGAAAACATAATTTTAATTTTTTTTTAAATTTTCAAAATTTTTCCATGCTCTTTCCATACAAATCTTTGATTGAATTGCGCTCTATCTAAACGTTAATATTAAGAGCTAAAACTTTCAGAGAATTATTTTTTATCTATTTGGAACCATTTGAGCCCCTGGGAGCAAGGAAATTCGAAAATGTCCATGTTAAGGACCACCCTAATATATATATATATATATATATATATATAAACTGTTATATTTTTAATATATATCAATGTTTCGTCCATAAATCCATCCAGCCATTTCCGATTATTACATTTATATATATATGTATATATAAAGTTTTTAGACGTTAGTCAAATTGTAAACACTAGAATGTAAGAAAAAAATTTTCAAAAAAAATTAATTAGTTTAAATGTTCCAATTATTAATAGCCTGGTTTATCACAGTGTACAATAGTGTAGTGTATTTTTGTATAATTAATTTCTTTTTCCACTGAATGACGGTCTCGATGAAGACCGAAACGTATGGATAAATAAAGTATTTCAAAACTACTTTAGTTTTTTTTTTAACTTCCCGTAGGGCAAGTTATAGTAATCGCAAAAAAATCGAAAATGAAATTTTTTATATATCTTTACGTTTCAGAGGTTTCTGAACATTTTGGCATACCTTAGAAAAAATGGATGTATGTGTGTGTGTGTGTGTGTGTGTGTGTGTGTGTATGTATGTATGTATGTATATATGTATGTATGTATGTATGTATGTATGTGCGTGTGTGTATGTATGTGCGGATACAAATTTTCGTCGACGATTTCGGGAACACGGATCAACCGATTTGAATAATTCAAAAAACATTCGATTCGTATTAATAAGGAGACGTGCAGATTAGTTTTTGGCGAAGGCAGGTCTAGCCGTTCCAAAGATACGGGGCAAAAAGTGCCGAAAACGGAAACTCAGTTTTTAAGAGAACGGAGCGTCCGATTTGAATAATTCAAAAAACATTTTACTTGTATTGACAAGATAAAGATTGATCAAATTTTCATAAAGGCAGGTCTAACGGTTTCGGAGATCTGATGCAAAAAGTAAAAAAAAATGCCATTTGGCGGTCAAAAATGATCATTAGACATATGCACATCAAATTATCAGATATTTTATAGAGATTTTAACAATAAGTATAATTTTTTTTTACATTCCTATGGGTTCCGTACCAATGTTTACGCGTTAGACGACGACGCGCGGCGCTTACGCGCTTGATATTTCGTCTTTATGCAGTTAAAAGCAGTACGATTACTTTGAAAAAAGTTTAGATCTTCCAAAATATGTCAAAATAAAATAAAAACATTTTTTTTTTTCAAAAAAAAATAAAAAAAAAAAAAAATTTTAATTTTTTTTTTTTTTTTCAAAAAAAAGTAATTTTTGTCCAATATATAGTTTCTCAAAGTCTTATATTTCGAGTAAAATTTTTTCAAAAATCTTAATCGTTTTTAAAAAAAAAAATTTGGTACGGGAAGTTCCAGCAATTTGCCTCAAGGCACGATGCCTTAATTGCCTTAAGACAGAATTCCACTTACAGCTAGTTCTTTACTTGGTGTTACTGCCTGATTCTAAATAACTCATCAAAATATATATCAACACCAAACTCACATATTTCAATATATATATATATATATATATATATATATATATATATATTGATATTAATATATATATATATATATATTATATATATATATATTTATTATTTTATATATATATATATATATATATATATATACTATGATTTCTATTTGTATCCTTTATCATTTATCCAGGAACGAAGTGTCCCGATGGCAAAAGATCGGGGTCCGAGCCTTCGGCTTCCCAGTGAACAGCCCCAACACAAAACGCTACTACCAATTAGTTCTGAATACCTCATATTTAACAGAGTCCATCAAAACGGAGCCGCCAATTAAAGTACAAAAAATTGCACAATAATATTTATATTTTGTCTAAAAGTCAGTCAGTCAATCAATCAACCAGTGAGTCATCGAGTCAGGAAGGAAGGAAAGTATTATTATTTATTTTAGTCATTTTATGGAATTCGACCGTACTGTTTTAGGTTTAAGTTAAAAGGTAAAAGGTAGAAGTCAAAAGTCAAAAGGCATTTTTTAATTAAGAGAGATTTGAGTGTTTATTTTTAATATATATGATTAAGTTGTTGTGCAGTGTGTGGATTTTGTGCAAAATGGTAAATGGTAAATGATTGTTAGGGCAAAATTGTTTTTTAATTATTTAGTGAATTATAAGCAAGAGAATGTGTATGTGTATGTATATTTATATATATATATATATATATATAAACATATATTGATTGTTTCCTTTCCAAACAGTAAATCCAATAATAAAAAACAATTTGTTTTTTGAAGATGTTTAATAACGACGTTTCGGAACTAGGTACGTTCCATCATCAGGTTTATTCTGTCAAATACAATGTTTTTTAAAAATATTGAATAACATTAATTAATGATGGTCAATACAGATTAATTAGAAAAAAATTTATAAAGGAATGGATTATGTACCGGGGTAAAGAGTAATTTTTTTCTAATTAATCTGTATTGACCATCATTAATTAATGTTATTCAATATTTTTAAAAAACATTGTATTTGACAGAATAAACCTGATGATGGAACGTACCTAGTTCCGAAACGCCGTATTAAACATCTTAAAAAAAACAATTGTTTTTTTATTATTGGATTTACTGTTTGGAAAAGAAACAATCAATATATTGAAAAAATCCAGGACTTATCTATTGAATATATACATATATATACACATATAGTTAAGAAAAAATAATTTCCTTTGTTATTATATGTTTCGACTATTGATGTGTGTCATCATTCAGTAATTACCAGGATAAAAGCACAAAACTTAAAACATATAGTTTTAAGATCATCCATATATTGTACCCATTTTTGATTTAGACATCATGATGAATTTCAAAAAAGAACTCTAAATCTTCTAAAAATTTTAGATTTGTGTTGAATTTTCTTGCAAAAAAGAAATTTTATATTTAATATTGTTCTAAGTTATGTGCTTTTATCCTGGTGGTTACTGAATGATAGCACACATCAAGTGTCCAAATGTATGATAAGGAAGGAAATTATTTTTTCTTAACTTATATAATTAGGGTGATTCTTTTAAAGAATTTTCTTTCATCAATTTGGAAACATTTGAGCCCCTGGGAGCAATAAAATTTGAAGATGTCCATATTAAGGACCACCATAAAATATATATGTATATGTTGTATATAATTTTTAATTTGATATTGACATAATCTAATAATTGGACATGATGACATGAATAATTCATATATTTCGACTACAGACCTAGCCTTCATTCAGTGCTATAAAGAAATCTAAAATTTATTATTATTCAAGTATCACGAATTGGAATAAAAATAGATCTTGAATAACACTATATTACATAATATATTTATATATAGCAACTAAATTAACTAACCGAACAATTTGGTGTTGCAGAAGACTAACTAAAGATTTTTTATTTCCAAATTTGTGAAACTGATTTTTAAAAGGAGCAGAATTTTTTTAAATATTTATTGTTAAAAAATTAATTGACAATAATAACTAATTGGACTTCTAGAGACTCACTTTGATGTCATCAATTTGCATTCATTAAAGAAGTGTATTTTCTTGTAGAAAACTATTTTATAAATCTAACTTAATATCGAAATGAAACAATTTTAACACATAAATCCCATATATTTACATAACACATTAATTCTTCAAAACACAGTATAGATTTCTTTAACCCGGCTGTATTACATTTCGAGGAAAATTTATATAAAAAAGACGCATTTGCAAGGAATCTTAAGAAAATTCAATCAGAAGACACTAGGACATTTTTTCCAAATGTTGTGAAGACAAACAATGGGTTTGTTTCATTGCGTTCCGAAGCTTATTAGGCTTATAGCAATAATTCAATGCAAAATACAACAGTTTTAATGTTTATATGTTCTAATTCAATTAGGATAAGCAAATTTTATTATATTATTTATTTTTACACATTTTTTTAATTCAATAAATATTTTTATAGCAATTCTGATGATATAGGATAAAATATTGTTCTAAAGCATTATTAACCAATTATTATTAATTAATTGCCAAATGAGAACTTATATGTGTGTAGTAAACATTTTAAAACATTTTGTGTCTATGAAGTGTATATGAACTGTCTACTATTCCAGTATTGTATAAAATTTGCAATTTAGCACAAAATATCGATTACATATTTCGAAACAAAACAAAAACAATTAGTAGATTTTGCACTACATTTAATAACAACTGAAAGTTTTGAGAACGTCGTTCAAAATTATTTTGTTTCATTGAAAATTTGACTGCTATATACCAAACCATAAAATATGACAAGTTTTTCAGATTGATTTTTAGGCCAAATTCATGGACTGTTTTCAATGCATTTTTAACGTGTTATTTTCAATTTGAATTTTTAGATCAAAAAAACCTTAAAAGTCATTAAATATACTTTTTATATGAAATTATTGCTGAAATACTTTATTAGTTTCAAAATAATTAAAACATTAAGCTGGAAACAGTAGTAATATAAAAAAAATCAAATTAGAAAAACATCTACATCAGAAGAAAATATATAAATTAAGTCATTAAAAAGATATATATCTCTTATATATAAAATTCTTCTGTACGGGTGTATGATTTGATATTTTATTAGTTTAGATTTCCTAAACAGTTATTCGGATTCTGATAATTCTTTTTAGAATTTGTCAAAGGAAAATTATAAGATTTAATGAATGCTAAAACTATAGTAATATTGTTGAAATAAATGGCAAAAATTACAAAAATACCACTTATCATTGTTTGACATCGAACTATCATCTGCTAGAAATGCCAATTCACTTGAATTGAATTGAAATTATAAGCCTGGATAATATTAGAATATAATACATAAGAAAAATGTAATGTCTACATAATTATTGCCAAAAGGCAGCTGAGATGTGCCAGAAATTAAAATAATATAAGATACAGTCAACAGTATATGTGTTTGGCAGATGAAATGATATAATTCAGTTTAATAAATAACGCAACAAGTCCAAAATTGCATATACATTATTTTTATAAACTTATGCATGTGGCATTTTAGTTTACTTTACTAAGTTATTTAACAATACAAAAAAATATTTCTACTTATTAAAAAAAAGATTTAGAATTTTGTTTTGTGTGTTGAAAATTTATTTGTTTGGTATCGGATATGAAATATTCAGCAAGCTGATCTTAGATTGATTAGTGCACCATATGAACTTGATTTTACAAATTAATTCACCTACGAATTGAACATAAACAATTATGTTTATTAAATTATTAGCAAGAAAAATGTACTTTAGAAATTGCAATTGCCAAAAAACAACTAATACATGGTACAATATTATGAAAATTATAGACTAAATGATTGAAGCAATTATGTTGTTTGGTAAAATCAAGTGTGATTTTGTTCTTTTGTCGCAGATACTATATTATTTTTTTCTGAAATTCTTAAATTGCTTATAAGACCATAAATGAATCACAAAGGCAGGACATCAAATAGGATATTAAAAAGTATAGGATGATATTAAAAAAACTTAGAACTTTTGTGGGTATAGGATAACGTCCGCCGGGTCATCTAGTATATATATGACAAACAATGTTCAAATTATATTTTTAAAATAAATTGTCCATTACAATTTTACACGAATCCACACACCGGCACATATAAAATTGTGACAAATGCATTTAAAATGCTCAAACAGACATGTGTTATTTTTTACAAATATATAAATTATTAGGCTTTAATTTATATTTAAATTTTATATATTTTGTAACCAAAGATTTGCTAAAATTATAAGTTAACGATCACATTTTAATTTAAACTGTATGAAAATAAAAAATATAAGTATTAATTAAAACAACAGATTTATCTGAAATAAAATTGTTTTATTAATTCATTAGTTTTTTGTGTTCTTTTTTTTTAGATGTTGTCATTTATATCATTTTCCTTTTTTTTTTTTTGAAATCTTTTCCATCATTATGTACATTTTGTTGTGTTTAAATCTATATTTACAAATGAATAGATTCAAAATCCCCGGCAGTGATAAATGACAATCTTAGAAGCTAATTACAAAAGTAAGGCAAAATGTTTACATATAACTATAAAAAAATATATTAATCCTCAATTGCACGCGCTTTAAATAATTCATTATACATTTATTTTTATATATTTATATATATATATATTTTATTATATACAAGAAGGACTATTCAATTATGAAAACCTGCATAAAAAACAAACGGGCTGACAAGTGGAAAAAAATATAATTATTTGCAGCTAGTAGTTCATTTTATACAATTATGCTACACAAACTTTTTTAACATTGCTAACTTTCCGATTACATACAGGACAACGTTTGCACTCGGTCCACACCCTCATCGCACATTTATAACAACAGCACATGTGCAGGGGGCCCGTGTGCATGAAAACAGCATCTTTCTCGTTACTCATACAAGTTATACAGAGACTACTGTTATTTTTATCGTCAGAAGTTTCAACAACCCCCCCGTTATTAACTTGATTAATTTTATTATCAACTTCATTTATCTTAGTTGGTTCCTGGTTATCTTTATTCTTCTTAGAATATAATACGACTTTTTGATCTGTTCTTACCAAGTCCAAACTTACCAATGAACCGTCGTCACGACTGCTGCCTGGTTTTGTGTCTTCGGCTAAAGATTGATACAGTTGGGTTTGCTTCAAGAGATTTTCGGGAATCTTTATCTTTCCCAGGTCCATTAAATCAATGCTTTCCTGGCTCAGGCTTGTGGCGATACCTGAGTCTTGGCTCTGGATTCGGGAGAATTGATTTTCTGGCGCATCTGGGTAATAAAGAATTTTTTTTATAATAAAATTTAAAGGTAGGAAGAATTACTATTACAGTAAAAGCTCTTTATTCGCGTAAAAAGGATTCCCAGTTCATTTATCCTTTGTAAAAGTTGTAAGATAGACTAAAGAATGAAGGAAAATATATCTTATGTAACTTCTCCTAAAGACGAAATATGAAAGTGTCTTTAATATTATTAACTAGTAATGCATTGCATCGTGCCTTAAGACAAATTGCTGGAGTTTCCCGTACCGAAAATTAAAATTTTTAAATAAGCTTTAATTTTTTTTAAAAAAAAATTTGAAAAAAAATTTTTTTTGAGAATTTTGTTAATTTTTTTTTTTTTTATAAATTTGAAATTTTTTCCATATTTTGATATTTTTGGAAAAATTTGTAGTTTTTTCAAACCGATCGTGCTGCGTGTTTTAGAGAAGAAATATCGAAGCGCGCAAGCGCCGTGTCGCAGTCTAACGGATAAACATTGGTACGAAACCCATAGCATGTAAACAAAATTTGTTCTGATTACATAAATCTTTATAAAATATCTGATAATTTGATGTGCATATGTCCAATGATCATTTTTGACCGCAAAATAGCGTTGTTTTTATACTTTTTTTACATCTCCGAAACCGCTAGATCTGCCTTCCCAAAAATCAGTTTTTCATCTTGTTAAAACAAGTAAAATGTTTTTTGAATTATTCAAATCGGACGCTCCGTTCTCTTAAAAACAGAGTTACCGTTTTTGTCACTGTTTGCCCCATATCTTCGGAACGGCTAGACCTGCCTTCGCCAAAAACTAATCAGCACGTCTCCTTATCAATACGAATCGAATGTTCTTTGAATTATTCAAATCAATTCATCCGTGTTCCCAAAATCGTCGACGAAAATTTGTATCGACACACACACACACATACATACATTTTTTTCTAAGATATAACAAAACGTTCAGAAGGTTTTGCAACGTAAAGATATATAACAATTATATGTGCGATTACTATAACTTAACCTACGGGAAGTAAATTATTTGTCGTATGTATTATCGATTTGAATGAAGATGACTAGCCCGTTAAATATATATTCACTTAATGTTACAATTGTCTGCTAAGGTAACATCCAAACAAATTAGTTAAATCAGTTTTTTGTGAATATTTTATCAAAAATATTCTTTAGTGGTACTGTAATTTTACTTTGAATAATCTAAGCAAGAACATATTGAAAATGTGTTTAGAATTCTTTTTCAGATCAAAGATCCAACATTGGTAATTAAATTCACTCAATAAAAAAATCCAACGTTGTTTAATAAAGGAATATTTAATGTAAAATATTTGATGTAATTAATTATTAATTAAGTAAATGCATCTATAATTTTAACTATAGAAAATTAAAAAAATGAAACTATGATAGTGTTGTACTAGAAAAATTATATAATTAACCAGTTAGCTGTGATTGACTAATATACTCGTCATGAAAAAGTGGCAGAACTTTGTGTATTTAGTACATATACCTTATATTGCATGGGCTGCTGTCGAGCACAAAAGAAGTGCTCAAACATAGAAGAGACTGTGACGTCACATGTCCGAGCGAACATTGCCGACGACAATCGCGGACTTTCCCGATTGATCAAGTGATACAGATCATATGTTTTATTTCAATAATATAATGGCAATTGTGGTGGCTGATAATTTTGTAAGAAATGATATTGTTAATATTATTAATGTACATAAAATCAAATCCGCCAGTTAGGCACGTAACATATGACACGTGACATTTGATCAATCGAGAGAGTCCGCGATTGTCGTCGGCAATGTTCGCTCGGACATGTGACGTCACATACTCTTAGCAGTCAATGTAGTATAATGTCTATGATTGACTAGCATATTTGTAAAGTGTATAAAACAATTGCTTATTGATTAAATTTAAAAGAAAACATAACATATACTTGAATTTCAAGATATTTAGAACAATTTGAAGCTATGAATATAGAAAACTAGTTGGTATTGGTATTTAGCCTTGAGGCAAGTTACATGAACTTCCCGATATGTGTAATTAATCGACTTAATCAATAAAAAATAAATTAATTTATGAGTGATTAAAAGTATTCCGAGTGGATTCATTACACATTATTGAAGACGAACGAACACGTTAACTCGGTCGGAGTATTTTCTAAAAGCAAATTTTCAAAAATCAACAATTTTTATATTTGTACCAGGACTTTAATGGTTTAGTATGTTCATTAAGACCTCATTAAGGTACTCTATCGTTATACCAAATAAATCGTCTAATTTTAAGTTTAACAAACGTCAAAAAAACTACTCATTTTCTCAAACTTTGATGAATTTTTAAATTTAAACTACTTGTCGTAAGGCCATAATATTTCAGTAAGTTCTATAAGACCATGATTTATATTTTATTTTATAAGTTCCATAAAAAACGGCTTAATTTTTTTTCATCACAAGCAAACGGCTCGGTCGATTTTCACCTAAAACTAATCAGTATCATTCCCAACTAATATTTCTCGAACAGTTTTTGATTTTTTAAAATCGATTCGGTAATATGTGCTTAAATGTGGACGAAAAGTTTAACACTTTTTTTCAAATTACAAAGAAACGGCTTGGCAGATCGTCGCACAAAACTGACAAACGATAGTCCTCATCGAGATACATCTAATGGCTTTTAAATTTCTGAAATCGGTTCAGGCGATTCTGAGCAAACGTCGATGAAAGTTCTAATTTTGACAAACGCCAAAAAAACGACACTAATTTTTGTAAACTTTGACGATTTTTTAAAATTAAACCACTTGTCGTAGGACCGTAATATTCTAGTATGATCTATATAAGACTATGGTATCTACTGTCAAAAAAAATTCACGAAAATCGTCGAAATTTTTTTTAACACCTTATTACAAGAAAACGGCTCGGCCGATATTTACCAAAAACTAATCAGGTCGATTCCCAACCAATATCTTTCGAACGGTTTTTGAATTTTCAAAATTGATTCAGAATTGCGGGCTAAAACGTAGACGAAAAATGTTTCACTTTTCTGCGATTTATAAAGAAACGGCTTGGCCGATCGTCGCACAAAACTGACAAACAATAGTCCTCATCGAGATACATCGAATGGCTTTTAAATTTTTGAAATCGGTCCAGCCGGTTTTGAGAAAACGTTGATTTACGGCAAAAAATCTGTTCACGCACACACACACATACTTTTTACAATTTTGGTCTCATTCGATTCAGAATGGCTTGAAACGTCGAGAAAACATAAAATTAGCGAATCGGGAAGTTAAAAATTAATGTAAATGTTTATATAATGTTAATGATAAACTATAATAATAGGGGGGAGGTGCGTTAGACAAAAAAATGGCGTAAATTTATTGAATATGAGCAAATTTTTTACAAAATCTATAATTTATAAAAAAAAATTATAGTTTTACAATGGCAAAAAAAAAAATTAGAAAGTGAAAGAAATTTTGAACCGCCTCCGTAATAATGAAAGAATAATAAAAATAAAGTTAATTCAGCCAACTTCCTTCGAGCGTAACCACGACGCAAAGTCAGGTAAAAAGATGTAAAAATATCTATCATTTTATATACATATAACTTTTATATAAAAATAATATAAATTATTCTAATAAATACCTTCTTCCGCCGTTGTGGAACAATTCCTTTGGGACTCGTACTTCCCCGCCAAACTCCTCTTCTTCTTCCTGCCTTTTGGTCGTGGAGGAAAGAAATTCTTTCTCGTTTGATAACATTTCTCACAATATCGAAACAGAGGATTATTATTTTTACTTTTACACTGTATACACGTCCAGAAATCCGCTCGACCCAACTCCGAATCCGTCGAGTACCCCGATTTACTGTAAAGGAAATAGACATATAATAAAGACTGAATTATATATATATATATATATATATATATATATATATATATATATATATAAGTTTCTTCATCTGTCTATTATTACCTGTCCTCTGTGTCTGCCCATATCGCAAGATCACTATCGCAGATAGCTGCGACTAATAAATCTGTTGCAGTTTCAACTACACCCTAATATTAACACAAGTAATTTATGAGTACAGTTGTAAAACATTTAATTTGCTCACATTGCCTTTCGATTGTACAACCTCTGTTCCACTGGAGCTAGCGTCTCCATCACCGAACACAAACTTCTCCTCTTTGTCACAATCACTGTCCACTTCGTATTCGACTCTCATCAATATGTCACCCACATCGACACTGTAACTGCTCCAACTGTCCGATGAGTCTGTGTCACTCGTGTCTCTGCAGAATTCTAAAAGATAAATAAAATATAATAATAGAATATGATGTACTGTTATCGATGTCTTCTGATTTTTGGAGACTTACCAGTTTCTTGTCCCTGCACGCTATAGACACTCTCAGTGTCTTCTTCTGAAGGCTGGGGGCTCTCGCTTTCCAATGTAATGTATTTCCATTGTAACCTAGGAGTCTTTCTCTCAGACTCCGAGCCCGATCCTGAATCCTGGCGCAGTCTTTTTCTCCAATTAAAACTACCTGAAAGACAAATAATACATTGTTAAAGATGGCAAATTGTCGCTTATAGATTTTTTTGAAAATTTTGAATTTTGTTTGCACATTTTTGAAAACATTTCAAAAGCTTTAATGAAGAAAAATTTTAAATAAACTGCATTTTTTTAAATAAAAATATTTTTTACTTGAAAAACTTAAAATTTTAAAATTTCTTGTAAGTTTTTGATACACATTGATATCGGTTAATCCAGAAACGTAACTAGTTAACTTAAGGCAAATTGCTGGAACTTCCCGTACCAAAAATTATTTTTTTTAACCAAGATTCTATTTTCCTTTAAAACTCCGAAAAAACTATTTTTGAGGTTTTGGAAATTTATGAAAACAATTGGCCGCCTTTGTTAAAAATTCTATATCTTTATAATTTGAAAATTTTGAACTGTTTTTCAAAACATTCGCCATACGTTAACTGCGTAGAAACAAAATATCGAAGCGCGTGGGCGCCGCGTAGCAGTTTAACGGATAAACACTGGTACGGAACCCATATTTATGTGAACAAAATTTGTTATTAAAATATCTATAAAATTCTGATAATTTGATGTGCATATGTCTAATGATCATTTTTATCCACAGAATGGCATTTTTTTTATTGGATCTCCGAAACCGCTAGACCTGCCTTCCTAAAAATTTATTCAGTTCTTCATCTTGTCAATACAAATAAAATGTTTTTTGAATCATACAAATCGGCCGCTCCGTTTTCTCAAAAAGTGAATTACCGTTTTTGGCACTTTTTGCCCCGTATCTCCGAAACGGCTAAACCTGCCTTCGTCAAAAACTAATCAGCTCATCTTCTGATTAATACGAATTGAATGTTTTTTGAATGATTCATATCGGTTGATCCGTGTTCCCGAAATCGTCGACGAAAATTTGTATCCGCACACGTACATCCATTTTTTCTAAGGTATGCCAAAATGTTCAGAAGGTTTTGAAATGTAAAGATATATAAAACATTTCATTTTCGATTTTTTGCGATTACTATAACTTACCCTACGGGAAGTTCATTAGTGGAACGTACTTAGTTCCGAAACGTCGATAATAAATAAAAATCTTTATATATCTTAAAAAACCTTTTGGTTTTTTATTACAATTCGATTCTTTGTTTCAATTTTTGGATAATTATAATAATTATTTCTATTAGTCTCCAATAAATAAATGGAAGACTAATAACTTATATTTCGTTTTCCAAGTTTAAAAATAAACTATCGAAGGTCCAACTTTTATGCATACAACTTCTTTTAACTCAATGTCGACAATCTTGGTAATTTTCAATTTATTATCCTTTCATAAGCAATCACAAATCTCGCCATTAAATTATTAAAAGTCGATAGCTCTGAATATAAAAATGAAGTATTTTGTTACTATTCCAACTGCAGTTCAGGATTTTTATTATTTACTTGTTATTAATACACTTGCTTTCGACTCTAGTTGAAACAAATTAAAATACAAAACTCCTCGATTTGACAAAATCAAAAGAAAGACATAATTAGAGGCCTCATATCATCGTCACGATATTGAGACTTAATATCAAGACTTTCTTATTGAATTTATGATGTTATATTGATAAGTTATTTTAATTTAATGTCAATCCTTCATACCTAAATTTATAGAATATTAGAAAATGCATAAAAATTCAAGAAGAAAATCTATTAACTTCAGCAAAATGATACACAAAATATAATGTTTGTGTTAAAAGTCATGACAAACTTTTATAATATTATTTATTCTAACATTTAAATATTTTTATGAATACTCGAATCCTATTGATGTAATACTTTTCACAAAACCAAGACTTTCGTATTAATGTCTGTGTTGCATTCAGACACTCATGATGATATTTGTCATAATAAATATTTTATTAATGTAGCAAACGTTACTCACAGCACCATTCTAATATTTCAGTACTAATTTCAATTATATTTCCCTCTAATTTTTTTTTATAATGTCCAGACTTTTGTAATAATGTTAATGCGTTATTGGCTTCACCTACAAATTATAGTATTACTTTCATTTTTGTGTCTTTATACCTTGTTAATCCTAGCTGAACTGAACTTGCGAATACCATATATGATTTGGAAAGAACTTTGATACTTAAAGCCCTTGGTAATAGTATTTTTGTTTGTACACAATGTGCCTAACTAAAAATTATATTATTTACCAATTTTATCTGTATATTTAGATTATTGAACTTTCAGAATTGGACTTATGTAATCTATTTATGAACTTGTAATAAAATTTGATACTCAGACATACTTATAAAAATTCTTGTAAAAATTTGGTACTTGTCGACTGATAATTGTAATTTTAACCTCACATTTGTATCTTTTAATATCGTTAAACTTTCTGAAGTAAACTCTTAACTATTATCATGGATGATTTTGAAATAAACTTTGATATTTTATTATTAAATAAAAATTTAAAAATAAAGGCTCTTGTGAAAGTTTTGTGCTTGTCAACTAAAAATTGTAGCATTCGCATTTATAAAATTAATAGAATGTGTCTCTATCTAGAACTTAATTATTGAAAAATTATATTCTTTTATTGCTTGCGATCAGAATATACTTGAATATTTTTAGTACAGATTTGATTCATTTTAAATTCTTAATAGAAACTAAATTTTTGTAATCTTAAAATCTTAGACAAACATGCACACATTCTAAAAATTTGCTGTTCAATATATGAAGCTAAACTATCTTTAGTGTTTGAAAATTTTAATTTGAAAGTGTCGATCTTGAAATATTTTATAATAAAATGTCTAATAACTTCAAATTCAATTTTACAAGTGCAAAAAGTTTTAATTTATTATAGTAATAGTATTTAGATTGAACGAAACTGAATATCATCGTATCATTCGGAATAATAGTAGATTATTTCCATCTTCAAGCTAATTGTACAAATTATCATTAACATTCTATAAATCGTCAAATATATATTCTTATAAAGGCTCTCGCAATAACTTTTGTGCTCATATACAATTTAGAAACTTATCGAAGCTCTTGTAATACTCTTTGTGCTCAAATTTGCCTGAACTATAAATAATACCGTGAGATTCATGTTTCTGTCTTTTTACATTATAGAACCGTATAGGAAAAATAGTGGATTATCTCCATTGTAAAAGTTACTATCATTCTTTAAAATATACATTCTGTTGAGAATTGTGTTTTTTATAATTATAAATATTAGTCATAAGTAAATTCATTTCAACAAAGTATAATTCCAAGTAACAGTAAATGTTGTGAATATCTTGTACATCTGCCAGACAACCCTTAATAAAAGTTTATGATAGCTCATGTACCTTCGGCGAGCTATCATAAAACTAGAAAGATTGGAAATATTTTAAAAATGTAAAAATATAAAGAATTAGTCCTGAACTGTTGAAGAAGTAACATCTAAAATATTATAATAAAGCGCTAAATAAATTTTTGTATCTAAATGAATTCTTTGATTTCACATACTTCCAGAAGAGCTACAAATGTTCCAATTCTCATTGTTAAGTATTCCAAATGAAGCTCTAATCTACTCAAGAAGTTATTAAAAATTGGTTACATTTAATTATTAATTAGTAAATTCATTACTGACGTCTCTTCAATTCTTATAAAGGCTCACGTGATGGGCTCTTTTGTGCCCATATACAATTTAGAAACTTATCGAAGATCTTGTAATACTCTTTGTGCTCGTACACAATTTGCCCTAACTACAAATATTAACATTAGACTCATGTTTGTATTATTTTACATTATTGAACTTACGTATTCCAAGTATAATGAGCTGAATATAAACTGTAATAATAATAATTGAACACTTTTGTGATCCATTTGGTTTGTGTACAAATTACAAACCTAACCTCACTTTTTGCAAGAAGACTTTTGTGACCTTGTTGGACTTTGAACATAAGATATCAGTATTAATTGTAACAATAAATAAATAAACACATTTAAATAAATAATTGCTATATCAATAAATCTTGTTTAATGAATTAATTGTGTAATTGAAAAAAACATGTGTCAAACATGTGGGGGGCCAGCGCCCTGTACAAAATCCACAAACGCACTGCAAAAAATCATTTACACAATTAATAATAATAAATTCCTTAATACACTTAAAACTATCATGTTTATCCAAAACCAATAATCATATGTCTATTATCATTACCTGCTTGAGGTGATGCCTCGACTTGCATTGAACTCATTTTAGTTAATATATATTTGTTTATTATAAAATCACAAATAATCACAGCACGTTTAACGAAAATTAGTAACCGGCGACTAATTTACTACTACAATTGTTAAACTAGTAAAAAAAATTGCCGAATGGCGTTAAGAAAAATGTGAAATGTATAGAATGTGTGTCTTTTTGTATGAGACGACGAAGCAACATACGCGGCACACACACGCCGTGCGAGTGGACAAGTCCGAACAGGAATACGGCGAGACAGGGGAGGACAACCTAAAATGAAAGAGAACTAGTGTAAAAATATAGTTAGGGTTATAAATTGTAATGGATTGTAAAGAAAATATTAATACGAATGTAGAGAATGAATAATATTAATATAATAATTATTGAAATATTTTATTATATATAAATCATTTAGTTTACCGACAACAATTTATTGGTAATTAAATAGTTTATATATAATTAAATAACCGGAATAATTAACAATAATATAAATATTTTATTATATATAATATATATAAATATATATATATATATATATATAAAATATATTAATATATAATTAAAAAGATTATTTTACGGAATAATTAAATTTTATATATAAATATATTACTTAATTAAACAATATAAATATAGGTTACTATAAAAAAAAAAGAATGAATAATATTAATATAATAATTAATGAAATATTTTATTATATATAAATTTATACAAAATATCATATGTCGATGTTATAAGAATATTCTTAAAATATTATGAAAGAGAAACTAGTGGTCAAGTGGCATTGTGCCAAATTACTGCATACGAAGCATAAAAAAAATGTTAATAAAAATGTAACAATTAATGATTAAAATTTAATGATTAATAACAATTGTTTCAAATATTTTCGAATATATTTTATGACTAGTGGGGTATATGGCATCATGCGTTGAGACAAATTGCTGGACCGAATCAAAATTTAACTAGTGGGGTGTATGGCATCGTGCCTTAAGGCAAATTGCTAGAACTTCTCGTAGCGTAATGAAATATTCGAGAAATTTTAAACGTTTTCAAATATATTATTGCAAATACTGTAACTTTCATAATTTTTGCTATCTTGTTATATCTGAGCAAATCAAATGTAAATCATAAATCAATTTATCTCCAGAACATTAACAATCGTCATTTCATTTCGAATTCAATTAAAAAAAAAAATAGTTGCCTAATTTGCACAAAATTGAAAAAGTGCTCCTGTATAGTCACAGTCTAAATTGCATTTGCAAATAATTCTGTGCGACATTTTCACTTATACTGTGCTTAGCTTAGCGGCATTTTCACATTTTTCAATAGTTTTTCACAAAATTGGAAAATTGCTCCAGTACATATACAGTCTAAACGCACTTGAGTAAACATTTGACCCAGAGTTGCGCTTAAACTGTGCTTAGCCTGGGTAATTTTTTTCAATTTTTAATCCAAAATTACAAAAATATTTTATAGATAGTAATAATTTTTTATCCTCAAAAGCAATTGTTTTGTCAATACAAGCAGAAAGTTTTTTAGATCATTCAAATCGGACGCTTAGTTCACTCAAAAACTGTCATTTTTTGTACATTTAGTTTTGTATCTTCGAAATGGCGGGACCTGCCTTTGCCAAATACTAATTACCACTTCTCCCAATCATTACAAATTGACGGTTTTTAGATCATTCAAATCCGATACTCCGTTCTCACAAAAACTCATTTTTATTTTCTGCACTCTTTGCTCCATATCTCCAAAACGGCTGTACCTGTCTTTGCCAAAAACTCTTCAGCACATCTCCCTATCAAATGTGAGATATGCAAAAATTTTCAATTTCGACTTTTGGACGGGAACTGTAAATTTCATAATCCATATTTTATAGATCTAATAAAATTTGTCGAGATATTTCCCCGTACATCTTTAATAATAACACTTATGAGTTTTTGAATAATACAAAATTTCTTGGTATAAATATTAGTAACAATATGAAATGGGATCATCACATTATTAACACTTTGAATCCTAAATGATCAAAAACCTGTTTTATGCTTCGTAATTTAAAAATGAAAGTAAGCAAAGCGAGACTTTTCACAATTTATTACTCGTATTTTTATTCAAATGTAATTTACAGCATTTAGTTTTGGGGGTTTTCACCGTTACTAACATCAGTTTTTCAATTACAGAAAAAAGCAGTCAGAGTTATGTTTTCTCTTTTGTCCACTACATCTTGTCGACGTTTTTTCCATGAGCACAAGATTCTACCCGTTCCATGCATTTTTCTCCTAATGATCCTCTTTTTTTTAAAAAATAATACTAACTTGTTTAATTTACGACATATTCAAGTCCAATTTGAATAATTCAAAAAACATTTTACTTGTATTAACAAGATGAAGAATTGATCAAATTTTCATGAGGGCAGGTCTAGTGGTTTCGGATATCTAATGAAAAAGTAAAAAAAAAGCCATTTGGAGGTCAAAAATGATCATTAGACATATGCACATCAAATTATCAGATATTTTATAGGGATTTTAATAATGTGTACACATTTTGTGTAAATTTTTTTGGGTTCCGTACCAAGATTTTTAATTACGGTACGGGAAGTTCCAGCAATTTGCCTTGAGGCACAATGCCATACACCACTAGTTTTCTACTAAAAAAGTCTCATATTTCGGTTCTCCGCCCCTGTCCATTACCAAGCGCGCGCGAACTTGTAACAACCGCTTGCAGCCGTAGAATTCAGTTCGGACTTTCAGCAGAGTCTCCGTCTCAGTCGGTGAATTCCCCGGCAGGCCCCACCACCATTGAGCTATTCTATTTAATCATTTACAAACACGACATATTCATACAAGTCTGGATAAGCGACACATTATCAACAATTCATTCTGGAATGTCATTAAATAAATAATCAACTTATCTTCTAAATTATTCCTGTCTGTACTCTGCTGCTTTCGCAAACAGATGATTAGATTGAGGGAAGGATATCTTGGAAATAGTTATATGATTTTGTAAGAGAAATATATATTTTTGTAAATGTGTAATTTTGTTTGCTTAAAAGTTTTATGTGAAACTAGATGACCCGACAGACGTTGTCCTGTACCCATGTCTACAATTTTTTAATATAATATACTAATATTTACCGTTTACCTAAAAAATAATAATTATTGTTTTTTAAATTACTCTCCACGCAAAAATGCAAATACATTTATATTATGGGCGATGTTAAATGTAGAACTGCTTTAAATAAAATGATGAGTCTCAATTCCCACACTATATTGGAATTGAAGTCTTTTAAACGGTATAACATAACCATAACCATAACATAACACTGGTACTTTATGTTGGATTATTTTAATTTAATTTTTTTATTATTTAAGATATCCAGAATTGCATCTTAAACTTCTCCTAATCGATATCGTGAGGGCCGAATTGTTTGTATTCATCTTTACTTTCCCATTTGTTGTTATAAAGTAAAAATTTTAATGTATTTTAAAAATATTCTGCAAATATTTGTAAAAGATGCAAAGAAATTATATATTGAAAAAAAACTATATTGAAAATTTAATATCCGAATCTTGTGTTAGCGCCTCGTAGTATTTTTCGCATGCATCGCATTAAAGGTAGGACTGGCCCTGATTAATACTTAATTTCATATTTTAAGTGAATTATATTTGTCATATCCTGTTCATATGTATATCATTCAATCTGCCATACATATACTGTATTTTATATTATTTTAATTTCTGACACATCTCAGCTGCTTTTTGGCAATAATAATGTAGACTTTTCATTTTTTCTTATTCATAATCATAAATTTATTATACATATTCTAATATTGTCTAGGTTCATAAGTAAATAGAAATTTTTGGCAAATGATAGTTTTCATGTGTTTCAATGCAAACAATGACATGTTGTTTTTTACAATGTTTTCTATTTATTTGTACAATATTGCACAAACATTCCAGTACTTCATAAACACATACATCCTAGAAAATTTCCTTAACAAAATTTAGAAAGATTTATCAAAATCCGAATAATCGTTTAGAAGGAGTATACAGTGAGTGCTTGTAATTTAATATGAACTTTAATAACAATAAAGCTCAAATTGGTTCTACGTTTTAGTTAGAAAACGTTTGTATGAAAAAAAGAAAAGGGTTGTTTTTAGAGTTTTCCTGACAATTATTCGATTTTTTCTCGCCGTAAGAACCATCCTCGGACTTGAACAAACATTTTAAAAACAGAATTGGCCAAATTGGTCCAGGCTTTGTTGAGTTATGCGCTTACCAACACATTTTGCGATTCATTTTTATATATAAGATTATAAATGCATACTTAAGTAAGATTAAGAGACCGATTCTGCCGTATAACAGACAAATGTTATGGCAAGACCATGTTATTAAGAACTTTCCATACTAAAAATGGACAAAACCCATGCGGTTGGTGTGCAGTCAGGCGTTTTTCTCAGGTTGTCAGGTAAAAAACCTAACCTAGAAACAGCACAAATGTCAAAAAACCGATCTCAGATAACGGAGTCTTTCTGAACAAGCTTCATAACATACGAGTGACGTTGCAATTCAATACATGATATTTTGACAGTATTCAGTATGATTCAATAGCATAATGTATGCAAGTTGGAACGTAGCATGGCCTTGCCATAACATTTTTCTGTTATGCGGCAGAATCGGTCCCTAAGTAAAATATTTTTACGTTTGATAAATGTGGCACAAGAGCTAAAGATAGATATGTTAGGTGAAGATGGTTTTAAACAAGACTTAAGCCCAAAATTTCTAATTTTTTTGTTTATTGAAAATATTAACTAGTTGTGCATGGAATCGTGCCTAGAGGCAAAATACTGGAACTTCCCGTACTGAAAATTAAAATCAGTACGTCTGCTTAGCAATAGAAAGATAATGTTTTTTGAATCATTCAAATCGGTTGATCTGTGGTCCCGAAATTGACGATGAAGAATTCTATCCGCACATACATAAATACGCATACACATACATCCATTTTTCCTAATGTATGCCAAAATGTTCAGAAACTTCTAAAACGTGAAGATATGCAAAAGTTTTCATTTTAGATTTTTGGATAATTACAATAACAAATCTTGCGGAAGGTTAAAAACAAACTTCCCCTTTCGTATTTCTGCAGGTGCTATAAATAGTACAATGGGTTTGCTTG